CTGCTTCCGCGTTTCGTCTGCTGAGTGTAGGTGGCCGGAGGTCCAAATTCCCCCCCCCCCATCAAACAATTTTGATGGGGGGGGGGGGGGAATTGCAGGCCGGCAACGCACCTGCAATTCCTCTGGTGTTGCGGTTGATCATGGGCGACGGTAAGCACTTAACATCAGGTGAGCCGCATGATCGTTTGCCCCCTCTTCTATAAAAAAAACCTAATTGTTAGTGGTTGCTGCGGCTCACAGACATCTACATCTATCCTCGATTACAAATCAAAATCCAGATGCGTTGTCACCCGTGAGGACTAAGATGGAATGCCTCGTTACCAATAAAAAGGGTATCTGATTTTCTACACTCCCCATACGAAACACAGCAGCATTAAGCTGCTATTTTACGCTGGTATTCTGTGAGAGCGTGGTCCTTCCCCGGTCGAGCCGACCCATTCGTGCTACAACTATACTACTAATATAACTGCAGCATGGCTCTATCACGTATAAAATCAATACCACCACACCACGCATTATTACAAGTGTTTGCATCAATCATGATCTAGGATATCGAGACGTGTTCCTTGACCGCGGGACGCAAATATTTGGCCAGCTATGAAGAGATTATGATGAAGAGACTGAAGAAGAGAGGTTATTAACGGACTTATCTCAAAAGTTGAGTAAGGTGCGACAACCCATAAACTAAAAATGTTTTCGATTGGCAGCGTCATGTCAGATATTGCAGTGTAGGGCGACCCCCAAGTAAATGCTAATCCGGCTAGTGGGAACCATCCCACGTCTATCTGATGAGACATACAAGGAGTTGCACGGATGCAGGTGGTTCAAGACCGTGATATGTAGCAACTTATATAGTGATCTGTAATCAATTATGATGATTGTTGTATGTTGACAAACATATATCGAAGCTTTGACTAAATTAAAGTTTCATTGGATATATTATTATAGTAGCCTCTATATTCATCTCTGACAGCATATTTGAAACACCGTTACGGCTTATTAAGGTCCACCGCTGAACATAGGCCTCCCCTATAGTTAAGTTAAGTTAAGTTACAGCCTATATACGTCCCACTGCTGGGCTCAGGCCTCCCCTCATTTCTGAGAGGGTTTAGGGCAAGGAAGTGTCCGCCGCGCTGCCCAAATGCGTGTTGACGAACTTCACATGTCTTCGAAATATTTTTTTTTCTTATTCCTCAGACATGCAGGTTTCCTCACGATGTTTTCCTTCACCGCCGAGCACGTGGTAAATCAGCACTTAAAATTGCAATTAACAATTTCATTGGTGCCGGCGGGGATCGAACCCGGGTTACTCGCGTTCTGTTATATTTACAGCGAGCGTTAAGCACTGAGCTACCACGGCTCCCCTATAGATTACCTCATATTGGAGGTTTTTGACATAGTTGCCACGCTTGGCAAGCAGTTTGGCAACGGCAGTTTTTATTTTTAGTCTTTATTAGGAAAACGCTGCTGCCCATCTCCTGGTTTATTTCCCTCTGTCGAATCTTACGACACTCACGGGATAATATGGTGTAGTGGATATTCTTATGCCGTCACTAGAGGGTGCATGTGTTTGAAATGTAGGTTATATTTCAAACAGGTCTCCGTCAAATACGCTGACAACATTGATGTAAGAAGTGAAGATTTTAGTTGTTACTAAATCTATTGTAGGTTCTCATTTCAAATATACGTCCTAAAAATCACTAAGAGACGAACCCAAGAGCCAAATGCTTTCCGTGCATTGTTAAGTAGTTTAGTACCTACCCGTATAACATAGGTTAGATCTCGGCAGCATTGAAACTGTTGATTGCTGTTTTAAGTGCTGATTTACCACGTGCTCCACGGTGAAGGAAAACGTCGTAGGAAAATATGCATGTCTTAAGATTAAAGTTGTTAAGAATTATTTCGCACACATCCGCTCAATAAAATAAAATGATAGTTTGAAGAGCACCTCCCGCCCTCCCTCAATTGCGTGCACTAATCCCGTCACCACTAATCCCAGCACCATTACTCCCAACACCACTACACTAGGAAAGTTTTGCCTCTACACGACGCATGCTCAGGTAATGTAGAGTGCGGTGTTTGACCATTAAGTGAGCGGCGAGCCAAAACAGCTGCTAAGCTAAGCAGATTTTCCGCAAAGTAACATCCGATTCTATTAATCGTGTCTTAAGATAGTCAAATATTTCGAGGACATGTGAAGTCCACCAAAACGCACAGCAGCTCGTTGGACTATAAACATCTTAAAATGAGAGGAATCTGAATGACATGGTGAGAAATTGTGGGCTCAGGAAAAGTGTGGTTTGCAAGATGATGTGACCACGATTGAGAAAGGAATGCTTAGGTGGTTTGGTCATGTAGAAAAATGGAAAGAGTGACAAAGCAAATCTATGTTGCAGAAGTGAACGGCAGAGCTGGCAAGGGACGCTCTTGGCGAAAGTTTATCGACCAAATTGGCGATATATTGAAAATGGGCGAAATTAAGAGTACCCTTAATCGACTAGCATGTATGCGTAGGTATATGGATGTAAAGGAGGCCAGTGAGGTGTGTCGGGATCGTGCCAAATGGAAGTCCGTAGTCTCTGCCTACCCCTCTGGGTGACAGGCGTTAGTGTTTATGTATCTGTGCCCCGTTTTGAGACATTACTTTTTTGACATTATTACTTATGTTCCTGTAAACCCTATCAGTTCAGATCACTCTGATTTTATTAATTTTTAACCAATTGTAAAATAGATTGTGGAAGTTATCATTTTGACTGTAATTATTGTGGTTTTTGAACCGACTTCAAAAAAAGGAGTAGGTTCTCAATTCGGATGTTTATATCTTTTTTTATGTATGTTCGGGCATAACTCCGATATATATATAGACTAAAATTATTTTTTGTTCGAAAGAGGTTTATTCCGAAATGGTCCTATTTAAATTTCGTAAAGATCTGACGATGAATTTCGGAGATAGACATCATTTCAATAAATGCCTGCAAATCAACCGCGATGGCTGCTATCGCATATCTATGCATTGTTTACGCAATTACACAACATAACATCACGCCTGTACCCTCTAAAGGGGTATGCAGATGTGTTAGGTATACCACGGTACATCCTCATTTCTGTCAATGTTATATTGAAGTCGGTTGTACAATTTTTTTTATTTTATCACTTGTATGTAATGTTAATGTGTCTGTGCTAGAAATATCTCCGTGGTTGATTAACGAATTTGCTGTTATTCATAGGTATACAAAGGTAAAATATTTTTAGTGTCTATACATATTTCAACCAAATAATAATAATAATAAAAATGTCCTCCAGACAGAATTTTGGCCACGGCGGCCTGCCTCAACGGAGACTAGCCATCAGCGCAGGACAGGATTATAGTGCCCGTGTATGCGCAATCACAGGTGCATCATCTCTATTCCCTCGCGTCCCCCTTCTCACTCTCATTTTGCGATGGGACGGTAAACCGACACGACCGGAGAGAGATCAGGCGCAGGACCAACGGCTTTACGTGCTTTCTGAGGCACGGGGGTGAGACACCGCCAACTTCCTGACTCTGGGCACCTACTGAGAAATCCTTGACGGAAAAACGCAATAATTATTTTTTGGCCCGACCGGGATTCGAACCCAGGACCTCATGAACAACAGTCGCACTACTACAACCACTAGACCAATGAGGCAGTCAATCAACCAGATATTAATAATGGAAATTGGTAGAAATAGGAAGTTTATTTTTTTAAACAATTCAATTTTAGTTTCGAGTACTTTAATGTAATTATAATATAGGCACTTCAATACAGGTAAAAAATGGGAAAGGTCTGTGCACCATACAAAAAGTAGTAGTAGGAATAAGTTTATGCTTTTTTTTTGTTAATTATATATATTTGTATATTTATAGAGTAGTACTTGCAACCCACTCCGGCTTCGTCCGGATAGGATGATACTACTTATGATAATCAATAACAATTATTCTTTTTTTTAAATCTTCAAGTTTCGGATAAAATATAGCCTAGATTCATCCTAGAATTGCTCTGTATCTGTTCGTTAAATTCATTCAACCATTTCTAAGATTTGCGTGGACAGACAGACAAATCTTTTAAAAATGCTTATTTATGTCTCAATAGCATTAAAACAACCCTCTAAGCCGGTTATTTCTTCATTATAGCCACTGTATTTTTATTTTGTTTGTTTAAAAGCTTTTAGTGTATTGTGAATAATATAGGTATTGTATATTGTCATTAAACAAGTTTAAATGTTTTATTAAAGAAAAATTGTACAAAAAGGGTTATTTTAATATAAATGAATACATAAATGAAAATAACCCCTGGGAATGAGGTGATCGCTACCATGCTGGTTCTATAAAAAATCATACAAAAATTGTACAAAATAAATTTATTGTAAATTGAAATATGTTTAAAAAAAGTCCCGCTGGGTTTCTTGCTGGTTCTTCCCAGGACAGAGCTGTTTTATGCGAACCAGTGGTAAATAAAAAAATGACTTTCAATAAGTATCACACAATGTAAAACAAATGATTTTTATTCAATATAGATTATATTGAATAAAAATCATTCATTTCATTTCAATATGACACAAGTGATAATGGTACACAAGAAATTTAAAAAAAATCTTTAGTTGTTTTAATTCTAAGAAATTAGTAAAAAACTGTGTTAACTTCCTTATGTAATATTCATATAATATGTATTTCCAATAAATTTCTATATTTGTGCAATTCTCTATTTGCCTAGCAGGTACATTAGAACAGCAGTGAAATATAAATAATTATAACTTACATACATCGCACATATTATGAACTTACTACACATTTAAATTTTTGAAATAAATTAACAACATTATTGAATAACAATACTCTTAATACTAAAATATAGTTACTTAAATGCAACTTGATTTGGTATAGAACTTGCCCACAGACACATTATCCGTAGAACGCACGTCAAGTATGCTTCGGTTTTTTAGCACCACAACACAACACAAAAACACTAATTATCGCTTTTCTAATAGTCATCAAATATTCCACCCTCCTCTTCCTCATCATCACCAAAATCGTCGTCATCATCAGCACCAGGTGGAACAAAAGCACCGTTCAGTATTTCACTGACTGGTTCATCGAAACCCATCACTTTGGCGAAACCATACAATAGCCGCATAGCCACCAATCGTGTGAAATCGACAGGAGTGGTTTCTTTCCTTTGCAGCTCTAGCTGTTTCTCCGTGGGATAATCCATGATCTTCTTTCTCATTTCACACATGGAGACTAATAAACAAAGTATGATAAAAAACACAATTTTAGGAGCCATGTTTTAAAATTTCGCGCCAATTTACTTGTCAAACAAGAAAATGCGTTCCTGTTTTTATTCGATTGCGTGTTGAATTACTGCATGTTTAACAGTTGAAATTGATGTGAATGTCGAAGTAACGGAATGCTATCGCGAACGGGTGATGCTTTCGAATGAAGACGAGCGTATGCCAGAACAGTGTGCAAAGCGCAGTGTGTCAAGTCAATAAGTATGGATAACGGTTAATGCGTGACACGCCGCTTGCTTAAACTAAAAAGAAGTGGTTGTATTATATCTCTTTACCATAAACTATTTTTAAAATTACTGGGGCTGCGTGGATAGGTTTTACTGTAGCTGCATTACTTATGCGTTGCTGCGTTGTCGGGCGCCAGGATTCGTTACATTAGTAAAAAGATACCTAAATTATTAGGTATATTACAGCCTATCAAGAGTTCACTGCTAACATAATTATGCTTCCCCATGGACTGCCCGTAGCGGGAATATTTGTTATACTGGCAGCCATGTTGGCCTAGTTGCGGTAAACATGACTCCCGATCATGAGATCCCGGGTTAAGAATCCGGTTTGGGCCGGGATAGTCCGGATCAGGAAGTTGACGGTGTTTAAACTCCGTGTCCCGTACTGTGGCTGATCTCTCTCCGGTAGTGTCTGTATGAGAAAATATAGATTGTACCTGGAGACTGGCCGCTGTTAACGATATTTGGTACGGAGGACATAGTATTTGACATAGTTCCTACGCTTGGCAGGAATATTATTTGAACTCTTCACAGGGAGACGCTGCTGCTTTCCTGTATCAGTTACCCTTTGTTGCCTCATACGACACCCACGGGGGTACCCCCCTCCTCCATAAGGGGTACTAATGGATTTCTCTCACGCCGACACTAACGGCTATATTTGTGTAAATGTTGTATTGAAATAAACATTATTTAAATATTACTTTGTTACATGCAATTTTAATATAGGTAGAAATACCAGTTCTATCTGTTCCATCGATAACTCTTTTGAAAGAAAATTGCCATTCACACAATCATTAATTTCTTAATATAACAGCATTTTAAATGACGGACGATCTCAATCGTTTTCGACTATAAGCCGACATACGAGCATACAGTTCACCTGACGGTAAGTGGACGCTGTGGGCCGTAGACATCTATCTACATATATCCTCAATTTATTAAAAATCAAAATGCAAAAAAAAAGTTCTTTTAAAATAGATTACGGTTCTCTACACTCATCAATCAATCATACGAAACACAGCAGCATTAAGCTGCTATTTTACGCTGGTATTCTGTGAGGGCATGGTCCTTCGCCGGTCGAGCCGACTCTTTCGTGCTACAAACATTACATAGCGACAGCGTGACTACTACTACTACGTTAAAATGCAAGAAAAACAAGAAAGAATAGCAGAGCATTTTATACATGGTTGTGGCACGTAGGAAAGCATGGTACTTATCATCATTTTACCGTTGTGGTATGTATGGTGGGTGCAGTGAACCGGAGACCCTTTTGACTGGTAACGAGACATTCCATCTTAGTCCTCAGGGGTGACAACACATCTGCATTTTGATTATTAAGCAAGGATAGATGTGTCCACAGTCATATGGACCATAGTCCCCACTTACCTCAGGTGGAATACGTCTTCGTTTGTCACTCTTATTTCTTTGAAAAAATCATTTTGTGTATTGAAATGATGACTCGGAAATGGTGGTGTTGATTTTTTTTTTTTTTTTTATTTTTTATATATATATATATATATATATATATATATATATATATTATGATATTGTGTTTGCATCACGAATGGGTTGGTTCGACCGGGGTAGGACCACGCTCTCACAGAATACCAGCGTAAAATAGCAGCTTAATGGTGGAATCGAGGTATTCTACCTGAGCCCTCAGGGGTGAACAAGCTGCTATCTTACGCTGGTATTCTGTGAGAGCCTGGCCCTTCCCCGGTTGAGCCGACTCTCGTGCTACAACCATAATATAGCTACAGCGGGAATCTACTACGTATACAAGATTGTAAGTAGTCTCGTAACTTTAGCCCCTGTCACCGGTTTGTGTGTTCTACACCTGGTGAAATTGGGACTTCATATAGTCGTCTCACCCACAGGACCTTATGTGGCGATGGGAAATTCTTCTACACTGACGTTTAAAATTGTAAGCATAAAATTGTTTATCACCTCTAAAAGAGAAAGTTTTATAAAATAATTCATTGTAAAATTGAGTACGGATATATGTAAAGCTTTGGTGTTGGAAGACATCTGTTCAGGGTTATTGACCTTTACAACTCGCATTACTACGAAATTTCTCTCGAGTACTACATTTTAAGGCGGTTATCAGTGTATGAGGTATTTCACCGAACGGATGCCGTTAATGGAATTGTAGTTATGTAAAGTTTCAGATTAAATACATTCTATTGCTGGGCACTGGCTTTTCATTTCTGTGAGGAGCAAATGACTAGTTTACCGTGCTGCTACAGTGCGTGTTAGCGGACTTCACCATGTTTTCCAATATACTTATCGATATCGCATTCAAATTCTAAGATCCATATTCGTAAACATTTCTCAACGACCATTGATACGCCATCATTATGATATCAGCATCCTAGGATCGTTGCTAATTAATAAACACAAAACAGTATCTAAGTTAGAAAAATCAGCTCCTGTAAACTGTACTAACGGGAGAGTATTCTGTGACTTGATGGCTTGATCTCGTCAACGGTTACGTAACATAAACCGAAGTTTGGAATATCATTAATCACATTTCACGTTATAAAGGTTTTTTTCTAACTAAGAAAGCCTTAAATTGTTCAAACTGTTTTGTATTTATTTCTGAATACGGCTCATCAACTCATCCAGTTACAAAGGATGTTGTCCATGCATTAAATAAAAGCGAATTGTAATATTATTGTATTGTATTTATTAATTTTGCAGATCGTATGTCTGCGCATTTCATGATATTATGCTGCCATTTCATAGTTATTCTGACAATAATTTGACTTCCGTTAATATTCTCTAAAGTATTAAAGCTTTAATCTAGTAATATAGGACAGTAGGTTGAGGTTTATATGATATTTAAATCAGTCATAAAGTAACATTTGGGAGATTAAAGCTAAAGTTACAGCCTATATATACGTCTCACTACTGGGCACAGGCCTCCTCTCATTTCTGAGAGGGTTTTAGGGCAAGGAATAGTCAGCCGCGCTGCCCCAATGTGTGTTGGCGAACTTCACATTTCTTCGAAATATTTTTTGTTATTTCTCAAAAATGCAGGCGATAAATCATCACTTAAAATTACAATTAACAATTTCATTAGTGCCGGCGGGGATCGAACCCGGGGTGCTCGCGTACAGTGAAATTTACAGCGAGCGTTAACCATCTGAGCAACCACGTCATTGGGAGATAAAAAATTTCAAATTATGAAAATGCGGCGTATCATGAAATGCCTTTCAATAATTTGGCATTGTTCACAAACCAGCGAGCGTTCATACAGAATATCAGCGTGAAATAGCAGCTTAATACCTTGTCTTGTCTTTCGTATGGTGAGTGTATAAAAGCGGAGACCTTTTTTCCTGGAAACAAGGCATTCCATCGTAGTTCTCGGGGGTGACTGCGTCTTCTTTTTGATTCTTAATCTACAATAAATGTATATTTCTATGGCCCCAGCATCCCTGCATCGGGGGACTGCGTACTCTTTTATCACCTCCAACCTATAAAAAAATATAAATAACAGTTATTATAAGTATTATGACAGTAACGCTTAATTCGAACATGTTTTGAAAAAATGATTCAACTCTACGAAATGTGATTACAAAACTGATCTGTCAATAAACCAAATTACGAAATTTTCGATTGCGTTTTTGAACGGATATTTGCCTCCGAGGACGAATCCTAATACCTACCTTTTTGGTGAGTGGAATTGTATTAGCAACAGAATCAAGGGTATTTTTTTATTTTAGAATCAGCAAATACTTGCAACGGATGGAATAAATGCATTAACATGCCTAAACATAATGAAGCCAGGGCTACAGATAGATATAACTATAATCTATACAACCTCATTAGATTTTTTCTGGAAACAGTAGGAAATAAAAATTAAAGAGGCAAAAAAGGCTATTCCGTCTTTTACCTATTAATAGTTAGTTGTCTCAGTACAGAGCACATTTTTGTCCCTATTTCTTGATTGTCTTAGAGAGGAGTAAAGAAGGAAAAAGAGAGTTCGCCACATTGCTCTCTCATTGAAATATATTTAATCACATGCTTTTTAAGGTGTTTTCCGTTCTACTAGCAAGCACGTGGTAAATTAACTGTACCGTTAATTTGACGGAGCGGTAGCGCATTGGCTAAGTGTTTAGTAATTGCGTCAAGCCGGTTCGATTCCTGCACGGAACAAGCACGTCTCGACTATACAAGAGAAATTTCTAGAGTGAGCTTAAGGTTTATTTAAAACAAAATGAATATATAATTGTTAAAATCTCTTTTAGTGGATAATTCTCCCAGCTTTTTAAATTCGTCAGTAAGTATAAGAAATTCAGGACACTACTGAATTTAATATAATTAAACGAAACTAAAGTACGTGCAAAATATATTTCGTGTCGCTTAATGCATTTAAACACACAGTTAACTATAAATGACTCCTATAAATGGTATGAGGTTGTATTTTCTAATAAATGCATTCAATCTACTTCTCGATTCGGAATCGAATGGGTGGTATTCAGTGAAAGTATTATGTGGACCGGCAGCCTGGTTTCGATTGACATTTTTGGCATCGATAAAAATAGTTTTTATATATTTTTGTTGACTTCAGAAGATATTGCATTACTTATGCGTTTTTATAAAGATAGAAAAATCTGAAGTCTGAACCAATATTAAAAACGTGGAAAGAATGAAATCACGAAGTGAAAGTTGATTGCTCGATAGCGCAGTGGCTAAGCGTTCGGCTCTAGCGCTAAGGGCCGCGGATTCTAATCCCGCACAGAATAAATCTACAAATAACGAAG